TGCTACCGGTCAGTAAGGTCTATAAAATATTTGCATAATTATTATGATTTGACATTTCCAACCAAACCCACGACAGGCTTAATTTCACGTGTTGTTTTACCTAAGATTATAGTCACTTCATCATCATTAACATGTTACTTTTAGTAGAGTAATAATTAATTTTGTGGCATTAAAATGTGATTATTTTTATGTAGGTAGTCCGTTTAGTAGCGCGTTCTTCGGCCTAAATTTAATATCACCTTTTCCATGTCTATAGTTAAATCATCGGCCTTTGTCTTCTCTTCTCCTGTAAGGTGTAACTGTTCAATTAAAACTGATAGTTCTTCTTCTAAAAGGTATCTATGTTGCCCATTACGCTGAAGGTGTTCAATGAATTTATTTAGTATCTATTTTTTTTAGTATTTGAACCAATTAAAGAATATTTCAGTTACGATTTCTGACTTATCGAGTTACTACATGAATAAATCGATTCAGTGGTTTAGATAAATTGTATTATATTTTTGCTTTACAAGTAAAAAAAAAAAAATAGTTACAATAATAGCTGTATTAGTATGTAAAAGTTGTTGTATCTTATATACGTTCAAGTTGTCTTGTACAGAGACATGTGCTTCTACCATATGGTGGGTATTTTTTTAGATTGTACTTCGTTTAGGTTGTTATGTTGTTTTTTTGTCGTAGATACTGATTTGCTGTGCATTGTTCCATATTATCATCATGCCAGGTGTAAAAATGTATTACAAATTTAGTTTTGTGATTTTACTAACTTTTATCCTCTTTCATAACTATATGGCGTGTGAAACGATGCTCTATCATGTAAATGAGGTATACGTTGATGTTTTGAATAGGATTCGCTTATATCCTGGCTGGTGTGAAATCATTAACTTGGAGATTAAGCACCATAAATATGGGAAAATGGATACAAAGGTTCTGACGAAAAATCCTATCCGCGAAGACAACTACCTCGAGGCCGTTGAACACTTTAGCTTGTTTTTAAGCTGCAGATATATGCAACGGTTGAAAGCGATTCGAACTACTTGGTCGGGCTTTATGAAAAGCTGTCAAAATAAAAAAGCCAAAGAAACCTATGTGGATTTTGCATTTTGCGTGAGTAAACTTTACAGTGTTATCAAAGAGTCCAGGCCGATGTTGGTGCACATGACTACCGGTTTGGCCGACATGGAGAAACTATTTATTTACAAGAACTTGAGCAAACTTTATTACTGCCACAAAAGTCGTAAAACGACAATGCACTTTGATTGGACGGTGCGTGATTTCATCGATTCGTATCCAAACCCTGAATTCAAAAACGACAGTAATAATATTGTCGACGAAAGACTGACCGAAGAAATATTCAAATCAATTTCTGTTGTACTTGCGAATTGCGAGGTGAACAATATAAATAAAAATTGCATCGTACGCAGAACCCATATGAGTTTTGGTTACTTGTCGTGTTGGTACAACAACAAGCTAAAGAATAAGACGTTATCTTTTTCCGACTATGAATTTTATTTTTCAACAAGTAAAAAGCTCGAGTCGTTTTATAACGACATAATCAGAGACGATTACCGAAGACTCGGTTTGGACAACTTAAACGAGGTACCCCAAATCGAAAACGGCGATGACCCTGTGGATATGAACGGAGTTGCTATTTTAAAACAGTATCCGCACGAAGCCGGGCTGGAAAGAGATGAAGGCCATACAAATCAACGACCCTGTAGATGGCAGAACTAGCATCGATGGTCTAATAGAAAACCACATCCGCCCGGACAACTACGACAAATGTGTCGAACGGTTCTTGTTGTTTTTGAGTTGCAGGTATGTTCAACGGTTGAAAACGCTTAAGTACACGTGGTCGGGCTTTGTCGACAGTTGTCAAAAGGAAGAGGAAAAAACGAATTTCGGGTAAACTTTATTGTGCGATCAAAGAGTCCAGTCAGATGTTGGTTCACACGACACGCGGTTTGGTCGACATGGAAAAACTTTCATCGTATACGCCTAGACGTTATCAGAAACACCGTATTATGATATTGCACATCGTAGCAAACGTGTTTGGTCACATTCATCATTATCCGAACCCGGATTTTTCCAACAAAGATCACAAATCATTAGCCGAAGATATATTTCAAAGCATTTCCAGTGTTGTAAGGGACAAAATTGTTTTTCCGGAGCACAACACGTACAAAGCTTGCACTATAAAACCGACCAATATGAGCTATTATTATTTCTCGGCGCATTACAATAATTTGCAGGATGAAAAAAAGTCACAATATTCAAACGACGAACACGTTTATGTTGGTGAAAAAATTAAGTTGTTCTACAAAAGTGTAATAGAAGACGATTACGTTGAACTTGGTTTGGATCAGTTAAGATTGATACTTCAATAAGTTCAATCAATTTTTAACCACAATTAAGTTTTCACGTTAAGAGACACATTGCTGCATGTTTTAATTTTGTATTTATCAGGGTTATCATAAGTAATACGGCTAATATTTTAAAACAGAAAATAACTCTTTGTATTTTAAGTTATTAAAGTATGATATTTTTGTAGGTGTAATTTTTAATGTATAATCTATATAACTTTAATTTGTATATTTCATTGATGTTTTGGATGCTTGGAAAAAATCAAATTTAACTCGTAACAATGTGGACTTTAATGTTAATGTAAACATAATATTTTCCAACAGTTCAGAAAATTAATTTCTTACAAACTATTTTTTTGGTAGCATGTTCCACCCAAATAAAATATAATATACATATATTCGCTCAAAGAGTTATGTAAGTTATGTTTGAAAAAAAAACTAACCTCTTAACAATTTAGACTTTATGTTGTAAAATTGTTTTCAAAAACAGGTTTTTTTTTATTGACTTATAAATAAAACTAAATAACTTATATTTATTTAGCTTTAAGCTTAATACAAACAAGGTATTCGATTGGGTAACGTTCTAGTATCGAAATTATATGTTTATAATCCGATAGACGTGTGTAGTGATTTTAAAATTAAATAGTTAAAAAAATAAATTATTCAAAACTGATTATCGACCCGTCAACATTTTCAGCAAATGAAAAGTTTCACGATCTGCCTGGAATTGGAAACTTTGGTGATCGATACTTTGGAACAGAGCCAGAAGACTATCTATCTAGTTAAAATGATTATTGTAATGTTTAATGTACAAGATTATCTAATATTTTGTATACATTTTGTGATTTTTACTGTGTTTCTATAAGGAATATATTTATAGGAGTTTATATAATATTTAATTAAGTTTCATATTATAATAATAATGTTAAATCAATTATTATAATTATGTTTTTTGAAAGTTTTATTATGTATTTGAACGTACGTCCATGTTTAGTTAAAATATTTACTAAAACGATTTGAAAAAATTTAATTTATACTGTAAACCATTAACTATTGTCGTTAAAATGATAAAATAATTTACGCCAATTGAAAATAACTCGCTTAATTTCGGTTTTAGAGTAAAAGCACTCATAATGAAATTAAAAGAGAACAATATTCCGGAGGGCAAGACGGTGCGTTTAAAAATCATTTTTTGAAAAGTTACAGTCATTTAAAAATGTTAAAATAGTCGTTATTTCTAAACTTTGTATTGAGCGTTACACTTGGAATAATGAAAAAAAACGCACAGTCTTGCTCTCCGGAATATTGTTCTCTTTTAATTTCATTATGAGTGCTTTTACTCTAAAACCAAAATCAAGCGAGTTATTTTCAGTCTGCTTAAACGTGTAGAGATGAAAAAACCTTTTTTAAATCGTTTTCAAGGATGCTGCGATAGTCCAAAAAATAAATTAACTACCAAAATAGAGTCCTAGTTATTGAATCAATAATTACACATCACAGTTAGTAACCTTTGAATTAATATTTTGTAAAAAATTGCCTATACTTTACTCCTTAAAAATGGGCGGTGCGCACGACGCCCTCTTAATATAAAACAAAACGTTTACAAATACTTTGTGACGGCACCACATGTGCCGATCGCATCCGTGCCGGAATCATGAATCACGGTACCAGGGTCTCAGGAATACACCCGTAGGAGTAAGGAACTATAAAGAAAGGCTCGGGGCTCTTTATCATAATATTAATATGCTGGCTGTTGTGTTTGAATATTGTTTACCGTGCGGCAAAGGACGGTTGCTCGGACCCTGGTACACAAATTTGCAATCTGACCAACATCTCGTTATCAACAACACTTGTTATCTTAGCCGTGATATTTGTTTCCCTACCGATCTCAAAATTGATTTTAGAATATTTACCTAGAACGTCTTCTAAAGTTTTTACATATTTTATTATAGTTATTATTACAGAAATTTACATTAATTAGTTAGTTTTTTTAAAGTATTATTATATTTAAACTTGACATTTATTACAATTTATTTATCTAAGTTTTTTTATTTAATGTTGCTCTAGAATTTGAAGAACAGCTGTTCATATAATAATAGTTAATAAAAAAAATTGAAATAAGTAGTTAAGTTAAAGTATAAATATTTTCCATGTTAAAACGCCCGCTAAATGCTAATTCTACTAATTATATCGCCTGCCTCGGCATTGTAATGATAAGGTATTACTCTAAGTTTGATTTTTTTATGATAATATTGAAAAAAATTAAAAGACTTGGCTTACAAGCATTATGCATAGCGTATACTGAATTTTTATTTACTATACTTACTACCTTTTACTTAAAAATCTCAAAAGAAAGACTGTTCTTTAGTGGGTCTCCTTATTTTTTACCAGATAGGCAACTCAGTTGACATTTTACTGGTAAGCGCCCTATCAGTCCATGGTATGTATGATGCCGGCCAAGTATGCTATCTTCACAAACAATATCATGGCTCATTCGTAATAATAAAATAATTACCAATGTACTATGCACAGCTGTTGTTGTTCTGCCAAAATTTGTACTAATAATTAATTATTTGTCGTTAGATATTTTAATTTAACGTTTATTTTGTCATGGTTACTGATAATGTTATCACCGGCTTTGAATTAATCTTATCAGTAAATCAACTTGTTCCGATTCCCTAGCTGTTGCTGCTGTCTTAAATCTTCAAAAATTTCAATTTTCTTTCAGGTTATTATACCTAGCCAGTCACCAGTCAGTTTGATTAATAATTATATATTTTAATAAAGAAACGATAATTAGTCTAGTATAATATGTTAACTCGTTGACCAAACACAAACATCTAGTGTACAACTACTATGTAAACGAATGCAGTAAACATTTAAGTACACCGACATACAAATAAAATTATTTCTCATGTATACTGTAGCAAAAAATATTCGTTCAATCCGTTATTTTAACAGATTCTATTCTGATGAAGCAACTAAAATTAAAAAATCCGTATTTCTGCCCGCGTCAAAATTTAAAAGTTGGCTAAATACAGGACAAACATTACAAAGAGATAAACAAATTTATAAAGTAAGAATTTATAACTCTTAGATTAAAATTAATCGACCCTTTCATATTTAATGCTTACGATTTTAGAGCTGCGGTTTTTCCGATTTGTATTCTTGGCAAAGAGAGCATTTAAATAATAATGAGTATTTATTGCACGATGGACCACCATATGCTAATGGTTCTCCACACATGGGACATGCTATAAATAAGGTAAATCATTTTGACAATGTAAGAATAAATATTTAACCTTCAAGCGCTCGCATGGGTGGCATTGACACCGTGTTTTTTGTAAAAAAACTTGCAATTTTTCCACACGAGGTTATGAGCAATACAAATGCAAGCGACAATGTAACGTTCAAACACTCAAGCGCTCGGAGGTTAATGAATTTTCATTTTTTTTTTTAGATTCTTAAAGATGTTACGATACGGCATAAACTTGTAAATGGAACTAAAGTAAACTATGTGCCTGGGTGGGACTGCCACGGTCTGCCTATTGAACAAAAAGTACAAAATATGAACAAAGATAAATGGAAAAATTTTAGTCCTCTCGAAATACGACAAAAAGGTAAAACTTTAGCATAATAAATAAAATCTTGTAACTTTTTTTAAGCTCATTTTGGTATGAAAAAATAAATTGCTTTGCATGTGTATAAATTAATGTAATTATTTAACGAATCAAGCTAATTATAATTGCTGCTCTTTTAGCTAGAGTGTATGCTTCAAAAGAAATAGAAAAACAAAAGGCAGTTTTCAAGTCATGGGGCATACTTGCTGATTGGGAAAATAACTGTTATTATACTTATGACAAAAAATATGTTTGTAAACAATTACGCCAGTTTTACAACCTCTATAAAAAAGTAAACTAATTTTTAGTAGATTATTTAATTTATATAGTATAGGCATTTTTTTCCCCGCTAATTAATGAATTTAAATGTTTAGGGATTAATTTACAGAGATCTTAAACCAGTATACTGGTCACCATCCTCCAAGTAATGAACGTCGTTGATTTATTCATTAAGTATACATTTGTTCAATTGATATTTTCAACTTTATTTTAGGAGTGCACTAGCTGAAGCCGAACTAGAGTACAATCCAAACCACATAAGTAAATCTGTAACTGTTAAACTTGAGCTGTGTGATTCTACCTTGCCGGCTGAGTTTAGAGATCATGACAATGAATCTGTATTTGCGCTCATTTGGACTACAACACCTTGGACTTTACCCGGTAACGCTGCCGTAGTTTACTCTCCAACGATGAACTATTCACTCGTAAAGATTACCGACTTGTGTGGCACCTATTTGTTAGCAACCGATTTGGTAGACAATTTAAGTGCTAAGCTAGAAAAACCTATTCGCGTCGTTGTAACGCTTAAAGGTAACTTTGTGACAACAAACACAATATAACCAGTTAGTACCTAAGTATATTTGTATAGGTGATCGTCTAAGTGGATTGAAATATAAAAGTTTGACACCTGGAAAAAATGACATGTCGTTTGTCGCCGGCGACCACGTGACCACAGACAAAGGAACGGGACTGATTCACACCGCTCCTGCGTATGGGCACGAAGATTTTTTGATTGCGTTAAAATATCAAATTCCCGTTGTAAGCATTCGTTATACCTACGTTCATGTCGTGCATAATAATATTGTATTACCGCTTTCGTCTTGTACGGATTTTAAAGTATTACAAATTTCCTTTTTCCGTTAGAAATGTGATGTGGACGAACACGGCGTTTTCACAAATCGAGCGTGGCCTCAACTAGTGGGCCTTTCAGTTTTGGATAAAGGAAATGAGACCGTATGCTCGTTGTTATTCGATCAAATACTACACACGGAAATGTACAAACACAGTTATCCGTACGACTGGCGTACCAAATTGCCAGTTATTGTTCGGGCGAGCAAACAATGGTTTTTGGATACAGAAGCCATTAAAAGTCTTTCTATTGTGTGTATACAACTTTTATGATTGAGAAATAGCAAGCCGAGTAAATTCGATTTAATTTAATAATTTTTGTTAATTTCAGGAATCTGTGAAAAATGTAAAAATATATCCGGAACAAAGTGGTGGTCGCAACGCGCTTTTATCGTTGATTAAAAAGCGCCCTTATTGGTGCATTTCCAGACAACGTTCGTGGGGTGTGCCCATTCCGGTTCTGTTCGATAGTTCAGATAATGAAATCATAGACGAGTATGATTTGCGTTTAAACTAATTATTATTATTATTATTATTGTCATATTTTATCTATTATTTTTATTAGAAAACTTTTGGAAAATTATAATAAATTATTAGAAGAATCGGGATTAGACTTTTGGTGGACTGAGGATGTACAAAAACTCGTATCTAATACATCATATCAGTCGTCTGAGCTCAAGAAAGGATATGCAAGTTATTTATCATTTAATTTTTGCACATCTGTTTATCTGGTTTATATTATTATCGTCGAGTGATTTGCAGGATATTTTGGATATATGGTTTGATAGTGGTATATCTTGGAGTTGTGTACTCGGCGATGATAAAATTGCAGATTTATATATGGAAGGCGTCGATCAATGCACCGGCTGGTTCCAGTCGTCCCTCATGTCGTCGATTGCACTGAGAAATGTCTCTCCTTTTAAGTAAAAATTCCAAAATGTTTACTCGTTGTCGAAGATTGTTTGTTTTAATCACTTTAATAATTAATTATTATTACCTAGAACATTGTTCGTACATGGTTTTGTTGTGGACGAAAAAGGAAGAAAAATGTCTAAATCCATTGGAAATGTAATTGATCCTCAAGATATTATCAATGGAAAGTACGAGAAATCGATAAGCGGAATCGATATTCTGAGGTGTGTAATTATGAGTGCTTGTTTAACGTTAAATGTATTTATAACATAAAAATTATCATGTCATCTAATAGGTGGTGGGTAGCTAGACACGGGTGCCATCAAACAAATATTCCTATTTCAAAAGAAACTATGCTCGATTGTAAACAGTCGGTTGATAAACTTCGTCGCATTATTCAATTTTTACTCGGCTCGTTAAACGGACATACACAAGACAATTTTGATTATGGCCTCAATCACCTAAATTATTTAGACAAGTATATTATTTTAGAACTTCAAGCGTTCGATCATGAAGCAAATTTATACTACGACACTTTCGAGTACAACAAAATATGTGCCAAGCTATTGAATTTTGTCGCTAACCAAGTGTCCGGTTTATACATTCATCTTATAAAAGATCGGTAATAAAAATGAAATGGCATTGTTGATAAGAAGACGTTATTTTTATTGCAAGTTTACATTTCGTAGATTGTACTGTAATCCCATCGAGTCGGACGAACGATTGGCGTGTACAACAACACTCCAAGCTATATTCGAAATGCTCCTTAAACACGTTGCACCGATTTTACCACATCTAGCTGAAGAGGCGTACGCTGTTTATCCATTAAGTAATAAAAAAAAAACAAATCATCATCAATTTTTCCGACGTTATGATGGTTATGTAGTACACAATATTTTTTTTTCAGAAAGATCTACTTACTTTAAATCGTCAAAATTCAATATCGATCTGATAGAAATTCACGATTCCGAACAAGTAGAACTTATTATGAATACAGTTTTTACGTTAAAAACTGAAGTGACAAATTTATTAAAAGGAAAAAATTCTCTTCAACATTCGATTGTCATCGGTGCACCGGAAGAAACTTTACAATTATTGCAGGTATTAATATTAAAACTATTTACTGACTTTATACCGAAAAACTTTTTGATTGTAAAAAATAAAATATTATAATGCTAAAGTAAACATATTTCTTAAAGATTTTGCATCCAGACGATAGCGATCAATTTTCGCAATTAATCGAACTCTATCAAGTGAACTCGATCAAACTAGAAGCTAGCGATACAATTGACGTTAAAGAAGCCGAGTTCAATGGAATTCTGTGTAAGAGATGTCGTAAATGGACAGCACATTCGCAGGACGTATTGTGTAAACGATGTGAAACGACAGTTGATAGTTTTTATTCCAAAAGGGAATTGCTAGCCGGTTAAATAAAGCGTAAGTTCATGGAATCATTATGACTTATAAACTATTTTTTTATTCATCTGATCATGTTATAATTGATTAAATTTCAAGCTTTCGATATTCTAAAACCTCTTGTGTCAGCTACCCAGTTGTAGGTTATGAGCCGACCTTCGACGTTTGTCGTATATGAACCATGTTGTACGAGAATGGCATTTTGTCCATTTGTGTTTGGCATTAATTCGCCCACTTTTTCTTGTCCGGTTCCATCGTCTAACCTAAAACTGCAAAAATAAATAGGGATGATAAATAAGTGAGATACTATAATAAATTTGCTTGTACTATAAATTAGTTTAAATTTACCTGGATACGAATTGGCCAGAATTATCCATTCCATTTGTTTGCGATATAATTTCTACTGGTCTGCAATCCGCTAAGTACAACACCAAACAACCAACGATAAATGTGCATATCTAAAGGTTATATAGTTAACTTATCAATTGTACGTTTAATATTTATTTACATTTGGCTTAAATTTACTTCGAAACACACTCACCGTTTTCATTGTAAATCCGTGTGCAATAAACTGTTTAACCGTACACAGCCACAACTAGAATGCAAAACAACAAAGCTTGCGGCTTCTCTCTCTCTCTATCTACAATACGTCCCACTCTCGCTGTCACCTAACATTATTGTGTTATGAATTTTAATTTTAGGGTGTCAAACAGGTTTTTCAAAAGTAGTCTCGCACGCAGATACATAAATAATTATTACAGGGTGATTTTTTTTTAACTTGTGTGACATACTTTGTCGAGTTTTTTTTTGCAGAAAATATTCGTATTTTATTACATATGGTAATTATTTATTGCTATCAAACGAGATATTCTTTATTATTGTAAGGAAAAAAAAACATTGTGCAAATCATTTATAGTTGTTTTAAATAGTTTTATTTTCTAAAATACCAACTTGTTTTGGCTATTTTAATATTAACTTAATTGTTTCGACTTGTACATCTATTGACATGTAAAATAATTTTTAACTAAATGTAGTCGAGTAGTGTTTTGATTTTTTAATGTAATAATAAATATTTAATTAAATGTTTTAAATTAAACATGATAAAAAATATATATTTATAATATAATATAATATTACAAAAACAATGTATGTTTATAGTATCGTTGAAATGAGTTGATATAAATTAATTAAATAATAAATAATATAAAGATGTATTATAAGTAGGATACAAAGATATAAAAATATGATAAAAACCCAAATGGATAATCAATAATTGAGATTATTATAAATTAATATAAAATAAAACTGAAGGTTATAGTTACACCAAAACTTAGTTTAAATGCTATAAAATTGTCTAGGATTTTTTTTATTATTATTAACATTATTGTAAACAATTACTAAAATCTAATATTGAGTTTAATACTTAATAGTATAATATAGATAGTATAAAATACTTAATATACAATTTGTATAATTAACCTTTTACTATTTTAAAGCGTATTTGATTTAAAGTAAACATATTTTCAAATGCGAAAACTATAGTTTTATTTTTTTGTAGAAAGAAGTTCATTCTTTATGGTTTTACCTATTATAGGTATGATGATGGAATTTTAGTAAATAATTAATTAAAATTTAAGTAACGTAATACCGTTCTGGTTAATCAAGTAAAATTCATTCAGCTACTGTAAAATAATTATTAAATAAATAATCGATGTTCAAAATAATGGCAATCACTTAAATTTAACAATAACTTGTTAACAATAATATTGGCTTTTCTACAAAATGTTGTGTCTATTGGTAACTGGTTATACACTTTATTGCAGGAGCTCGACATAGTTGGCGGGAAATAGTCCATACTGGCCTTTGCATAGTCCTCGCCACCAACCTTCGTCGATCTGTAAAAAAAGAAATAATATTTTGTTAACACGTTTGTATATTTTGTTAAGTATATTGTTAAATGATTTATTATTTTTTTTTTTTTATGATATTTAAATAAAATAAAAAATATTGTTGCGTGTTATTCACTTGTTGTTCTTATGGAATTTGTCAAGACCGTACAAACTTAAAGGTCAACTGGTATTTAAATAAATATGTTAAATTCCTTACCATTTCAATGTTTGTAACAATGTCGTCTGGGTCAAAGCTTATTTCATCATCAGCCGCTATACAAAAAAAAAAAAAAATTGATTAACCAGTTATGCAAATATTAGCAGCATCGTGAATGTAAGTTATAGATACGACAACGCAGATGGATACTTACATGCTTGATAATCGTACAACGCTATGGCCGAGTACCCTGCGTCCGACTCTTCTTCAGAAACTCCACCATTCTTTAACTGTTCGTGAAGTTTTTGTTCTTCCAATTGTCTTTCTTCTTCTAGTCGTTTTTGCTCTTCCAATTTTAGTCTTTCTTCTTCTAGTCGTTTTTGCTCTTCCAATTTTAGTCTTTCTTCTTCTAGTCGTTTTTGCTTTTCCAATTGTTGTCTTTCTTCTTCTAGTCGTTTTTGTTCTACCAGTTGTCTTTCTTCATCGAGTCGTTTTTGTTCAGCTAACCTCTCCAATTCTTTTTTTTTGCTCTCTTCAGCTTTCTTTTGTTCTTCTAGTTGAACTCTTTCGTTATCGGCTTTCTTTTGCATTTCTTTTCTTTTCAGTTCTTCACTCTCAGCTTCTGCTCTTTTTTTTCTTTCATTTTCCTTATTTATTTCTTCGACTTTTTTCAGGTCCTCGATTTCTTTTTCGACTCGTGCTGCTTCTTCTTTTAGCTTTCGTTGCTCTTCTTCGGTAGCGATTCGTTTTATTGCTTCTTCGTCATTCCTAATGGATGACTGAATAGTTGCACTCACAACTACAGGAGGAAGAACTGGCTCGGATGATATTGGAGTTTCCTCTTCATATTCGACTTCCTGAAATACGGTGTTAAATACAAACAAATGTTATAAATATTAACCAGGATAGGAAATAAAAATCATTTAAACGGTTCTTATTGAATTATCTTTAATTCTTTACCTTAACTGTACGTTTTTCTTGAGCTGGGCCTTCTAAAAGCTTTTGTCGCTTATCGTCTTCTTCTTGTAGTTCTTTTAATCTTTTATCTTCTCTTTCGCGAGCTTCTTGTTTTTCTAGCACTTCTCGTTGTTTTCTTCTTTCTTGTTCAGCCAAACGCCTTTTTTCATTTTCTTCTTCTTCTTGTTTTGCCATATTTTCAAATTTCGCTCTCAAACTTGACGGTTTAACGCTTGCTAATTTAACATAAAAATAACATTATTTAATTAAACAATTTCTACGTTTGCTTTGCTGCAAAAGTATTATTTTTAAATATCAAAACCCCTTTCTCCTCTCCCAGGAGTGATTACTTTTTCTTTACTTCTCAATTTCAAACCAAATTCTTGGATTTAAGGTCTCAAAATAATCAGTGTGAAGGCAGATCTAGAGTAGGGCAATTATATTTACAATATTCTTACTTATTTCTGGTTTCACTTTTTGGTAGTTGGTTCCCACAGAACCTGAGCTTTCGGTATAATTATGAGCCGACTTATCTATTCTGTCATTTTGTACGCCAAACTTTCCACCAAATCCCTAGCAGAGGAATATAATATAGTATTAACTAATTGATTATATAGATTGCTTGTATTAAGTATAATATATACTTTGCTGTGATCGATTTGACTCTGATGTTTTTCCACGACCTCCACATTGTCCCATCCGACAGCGGACTTATCTTGACGGTCAGATTGCACGCCAAATTTACCACCAAAGCCAACAGCATAATCTATAAATACGTATTGTTACAACTTAAACAAAGTATTAGTAAAATTGTAATAAAAAATTACCTTTCTGAGATTCGTGTTTCTCTAGTTTTTCTACATAGTCCCAACCAACAGCCGATTTATCTTGTCGATCAGCTTGCACGCCAAATTTTCCACCAAAACCAGAGCTGTAATCTTTTTGGGACGCATGTTTTTCTAATTTTTCTTTATGATCCCAACCGGCTGCGCTCTAATAATTTTTAAACATATTTTTGTTTTTAGATACGTTTTAGTGAATAGAAACACACATTTTATTAGTAGTTCACCTGATCAGTACAATTTTATATGTTCTTACAGTTTGAATAAGCAACATTAAAACATTTTTAGCAATTTTTTTTTTAGTTGAATTTTAAAATTCAGTAAATTTCTAAAACAGGTTATCAACAAGTCAAAAGGTTCAGCTGAGTATTCTTAATTTAAAAATTCAATTAAAAGTATACGTCGCCATTTAATTTTCAAAAATTTAATTGTATTTTTAAGTGTTTTGACTTGCCTTATCTATTCGATCTGATTGAACGCCAAATTTACCACCAAATCCAGTACTATAATCAGTTTGTGATACGTGTTTATGTTTGGGAGCAATATAATCGTGTCCTACAGCTGATTTATCCATCCTGTTAAAACATTTTCAAAAAATTATTTTCTATTAAAATGTAACACAATAATGTATAAACAAAATATATGCTCTCCGGGAGTATGAAACATTTTTATTACGTAACTAGGTACCTCATATTGATTATTACATAATAAATAATGTTTCATAAATACGTTTCAAATCATAATAACCTGTCTGTTTGAACACCAAATTTGCCGCCATATCCAAATGCTGCTTTTGGCCCTTGTTCCATTTCTTTTTTCTTTTGAATTTCATGAGCTTTGGTCACTTCTTCTCGCAGTTGACTCATACTGAATATTTTTTGGAGTAAAATTTTATTATCGGGTATAATTTAAAAATCAAAACTAAGACATACTCAACATGATCCAAAACGCGACCAGAACCCGGCACTGTACGAGAACCCCATCTCTGTTCTTCTTCGCTGACGTCGTTCACAAAGTCCGGATCGGTTTCCCAGTCGTCGTCAGCGTTGTCCGCCGTTACTTCAACATTATGACCAGCAGATGCTTTCCACATTGTACACTCCGTCGATGGTTTTCTCAAGACAGAATTATTTCTACAGAATTGTGGTATGCACTTGGCGGGTGCAATGTGCTGCTGGTGACGACACGGTCGAAAGATTTAGGGCGATTGGCAATAAAATGTTTTCTAAAAATGTATAACGTAAGTAATTTATAACAAAAAAATAACTTGCTAATTATGGCCCGTACTTTGTAAAGAATAATAATAGTTATTTATAAGCGAAAATTAAAATATTATATAGGTACCATAGATAAATATAAATAAAGATCCCCAGTGGCGTTTCTTATCAGCTTATCAACATGAATCATACATTTACACAGATACAAATTATTTAGATATTAGATGATAATAATTATTATGCGAAGACTCAGACTAGATGCAAATTGCAATCACCAAAACAATTTAAGAATCACAGAATAATAAGAAAAATAGAAATCTTGAGCTTTTATTTGTTGCAACTTGTAAATTCCAACGAGTTGGAATGGTTGACAACACTATGTTTGAGATGAGTCTGAGATTACCATTCGGGCGGGGTTCAGCAATTATCATGTTTAGCCATTACAAGTCATCTGTCCATTATTGACCACGTCATTAAGATTGTGTACATATAAAATTAGAATTATGTTATTTAATCGTTAATTTCAATTCAAACTTCAATACAATATGTACTATACACTAAGCTTGCTTGTCTGTGCTAAATATTGTACTCAAAGGAATATTATACAGTCAATAGTCAATCATTAAAACATAGTATAGGTACTTGTTTATGCATTAAAGCTCGGATGTTTATGATTCACAAAGATTAAGATTTAAAATCGACAAACTTGTATTGCATATATTTGCCTTTGATGATTATTTCTAGATTGAATATCGTATATTTTGTTAGTTTAATTAATAAAAACGCTCCTTTTGTCGTGATAACGAGTATGAGTTAAAGAAAATTGTAATGGGGAAAAAGTATTTAACGAAAAATCTGGTTATAAAATATTGTTTGAAATAACTGTAGTTGTTCATTTCAACTTGAAAACATCACCAAAATAATTGTAATTCAAATTTCAATGTTATCTTGATACTTACATAGAATACCTTTTAAATGATTAACCAATGTAAATCAGTAAATGCTATTCAAATAGGTCATTAATATCTGCGAGCTTTAGTCTAGACTAATCGTAGAACTATTACTTTTGTCCGACTATTATTAGATTAAAATTTCGAAAGGGAGAATGTGAGAATAATATTATGACCAAATTCTGATGTGGTGAACAAGTAATATGTGTTTATGACCTGTTTTTGGTTTAAATGATGAAATCCCTAAAAAAAAAAAATAAAGTAAAAACAAATGCAATATTATTGTTACAATTACATAAGATTGCATCAAGTAAATCGGTCTCAACAGTTTTAATGGTACACTTATTGAGAGAGTACACTGTTGTGGTTTTCCGGTGGTTGATTTCTACTATAATACTATTGGCGTTATTCACCTACATGTTAGTGGTTTGCTCTCCAGACACCATTAATTTCATACAGTATAAATAACGTATGCGCAGACTTTGATTTTAACAGTGTACTAGTTTGTTCAAACACTATCCAAAAAATAGTAAATTGTATCTAGTGTGTACGTTTTTTATAATATTAAATTTAATACTCTTCAAAAAAATAAAATAACATCATGCTTAAATTGTTTGTAAGTATTCAAATTATTTTTATAAAACATTAGACCTGATGATTTTCTTCTTTAGTCAATAATGTTATACTTATTTTTTATTTCTGGCGTTAACTATGCCAAATTTTAACAAAATGTACCTACACGGTGGTGTTATAACTTGAATGGAATAAAATATTAACTTGACTCATTGTAAATTGTTACTTGTTAGTGTTGTGTATGAAAATAACAGCTATACAGTCTTAATGATTTTTTTTTTTTGAAATACTAGGCCGTAATCTTTGCTGCTCAAACCGTGTTCGCCGGCGCTGCTCGTTACCCGTCCGGTGTAAACCCGGCTCTGTGTCCTAATTATCCGCACTGTGATAACGCGCTGTTGGCAGCTTACGCTCAACCGGCCCAACACCATGCTCATTACTCACCTCACTATGACGATGGTCACCATTACAATGACGGTACATACAATCATCAGCCTGCGGTTCCATTGCCATACACCGAACCCGGTTATCCGGCCGGAGTTTCCTCATCGAGCTGCCCGAACTATCCGTACTGTTCGCATCAGGTACCTGCCGAAGCACTCAGATACAATACTCAAAATAGATATCAATCTGGTCCTGCTTATAATAATTACTATTAAACTAGTGGAAATCATTTAAAATTACTATAATTCATTGTATTAAGTGTAGTATTTAAACTGTTACTGTGTATAACCTATTTTGTATCGAATTTTATAAAACTAAAATATTAAATAATCAGATGATATGAACTATTGTGTTAAAACATACTAAAAAAAAAAAAAACATACAATTTCATAAAATAAAAATATTTCTATTTCGAAAACACGGTATAAATAAATATAATAACAAAAACAATAAACATATTTAAATTTAATGAACATTAAAATGGAACAATTTTATAAAAATATATATACTATTTATGCATATACACAACATTATTATTATAAACATACAATATTTAATAAATAAAAGTAAAAAGAAAAGCTAATAATAATTGTGTATCTCTTTTATTTGGATTACATAAAACTATTAAGCGGTATAGTAGTTAAATTGTAAAAATATTAAGTAAATCGATGATTTTGTATTATTCTGACTAGATTAATTTAAAAATTTGTTTGATAGTTTCTGTGGTTTAAAAGAAAACATTTTTTTTTTTTAAAATAAATAATACAAGTAAAGAAAAGTATAAGAAAAATGTTCAAATTGGCAATCTTCTGAACGATACATAAGTGAATATTAGTTCTACCCAGTAAAATAATCTAATATATTTTAACAATTTTCATTAAATTGCACATAAAAAAAGTAAATTGTGATTAAGATTTAGTAGTATATAATATATAATTAATTAGACAATTATATTATTGGTTTTAATTTTAACGGTAGTAGTACTTTGACAACAGAGCCAGATATCTTAGTACCATAGTAACCGGCCCAAAATTGAGTATCGACTCCGCTGTGAAGTAGGATAATACGATATGGATTGTTTAAGCTCCTGAATGTATGCGAAATCTGAAAAAAATCATTTACACATTTCTAATTCTGTTATACACACTCACTATTATTATTAAAATTTTCAAGGCTGCGAACCTTGGTCCAACTGTCGGCTTGCCATTGGTGCAATGTTTTCTGGTAATTGTGTTGTTCTAGGATACAATTTTTGTCATCATATACGGTGGCCTCAAGCGAATACTTGCATCCACAATCGAAACGGCCAGAAAACCTAGAATATATTATATTATACAAAACATAATCTACATTAGTGCTTTGAGGATCGATAGGTGTTGTAATGTTTAAATTTGCTACCATTCGCTAACGAAAATATCGGGTTTGAGGTATTGCATCAACTTTTTGGTTATCCCGTGCTTTTTGAATTCTATGTTTTGTTTTTTAGCGCACAGACGATATGTCGATACAAAGCAGCTCGTTTGTCCGTCAAAGTCAGGATCATCGGGTAACATAGGTGCACCCTCTGGTCTGTTCTCTATAGCCCACCCTTGATTCCTCTCCAGTGTGCTCCAGTGATCAAAATTGTCTAAAAATAAAATTATAGTTATTACATTTGTTTACTAAAAAAAAAAATACTAATAACAATAAAATATCATACACTGTAAAATATTACTTCAATATTATGTATTTAATATGATGATTATAATATGTTATGTACAAGGAATACAGAATACACTCAATAAACGTGCAATCGTTTCATCTATTTATTAAAAAGTTAGGACGTCCAATGTTTAAAAATTAAAATAGGTAAAATATTTATCATAAGTCGTACTCAATATAAGGTTAACAGTGTTAATCGACCAATCGTTATTTTTGATAGAACATTTGTGTGTTTAGAATTTTTATGTAATTAAATGAAAAAGTATAAATTTAAACAATAGATATTATGTTTTACTTTAATTACTTACTTTGACCGCAATGGTTCTTAACTAGATTTCTGTTGAACGGATCATACTTGCAAATAGTGTAAAACACATACCATGGCAAGTCTAGTCTCTTTATAGAATTCGAACCGATATTTGAAAAACTATAGAAACCTTGACCATTATTAACTAAAGCGTTCTCTTTGGATGCTTTGTCTTGAAATACAAATTTATCTATTAAATATCTCCAGCTGCGGGTAACAAGCCGACAGGTCAGAAGAGAATCTTCATCGACTAAACTCAACACATAAATGACCATTTCGTTTGGTAAAGTACAAAAACCCTCTTTTACTTCTACCGTGTCCGTCATTGTAATGACAGTAAAATATTAATAACCAATAAAATACTTAAGCCCCGAAAAACGACATTAGCGGTTTTTTTAAATTAATATAAACTGTAAATAGTATTAAATAAAAAATTAAAAAAAAATCCACATAACTCGGTTATTACACAACAAAATATAGACTTCAATTATGTGGCCTGCGGTTAGTCATCTGTCATCTGTCATTACTCATTTGAACGTTATCAAAGCCTGCTAAATGCTGATAAGTGATAAGTGATAAATCCACAGATACAATTTGAAAATAACATAATTTGTGATAAAAACAAGTTCGGCCACTCGAAGGGGTACCAACATAACCAATGCACTAAGGTCTAAGGTTTAAAATAAACTTTACATTCACTCTTGTGACCCGTCACCTGTGTTAATATTTTGTTTCTCTAAAGTGTCAATAATTGTCGGCTTATATTAAAGACAAGACGTTAAAAATTACATCACTCGAGTTAAATTCAGAATAATTCAGAACATATTTATATTTGCTCGTGTTTTAAATGTGAAAACACTATATAAAACTGATAGCTGTATAATATACTAATAAATGGATTAAATTTCCATACAAACAGTACTTTTAACAAACAAAAAAACACTTGTTGACAGTATAGAATTAAATAATAAAAATATTTCTATGTTTATAATATGTGAAACAGGTATCCAGATAGCAGTGTTGAAGGGCGTACACGGTCAAAAATGTCGATTTCAACATTCGTTTTGTACCTCAATATCCCCATCATAATTAATTTCAGTTATCATCGAGAGAGAAAAACTTGTATTAGTTATTCCTAAATAAAAAAATTTGTGTTTTTCTAAAACCACGATAACCTAATGTATACCCACTTGTTATTGACAATTCATCTGTGTAAACTTGTAACTCAAAACAAAACAAATTTTATAATGCCATTTATTTAAAATGAGTATCAGTTTATTACATCTTAATCTTATGAGTTACCAAATCAAATACCAAATACTTATTACTTAATATTTAAATATTAACCTTTCTGTTATAAAAACATCAAAAAATGAGCTTTGTAAAAGTAAAGTATTTGAACAAACCAATAAATAACATGATACAGATAACAAAATTAAAACCAATTATTTATACATATTAGTAATAAAACAAATCAATAACATTTTAAAAAAAAATCATAAATTTGATATTAGTATTAAATCATTACAACCCAGTTTTATGAGTTCTTATAATAATAATAAAAAAAAATACTTTATATTAAAATCAGCTTTATCTTATAACATTAAAAGAACAAATTAACAACATTTGAAATAAAAGATCATAAGTTTAAATAAAAAACAAAACAAAACTAAATATATTATTTATACATATGATATTTTATCGTTTTTTCACTTATATCAAAATCAAAACACGATTTTTCTTGGGCACTTAAAATATTTGTTGCATATAAAATTCCACTTGATGTTTCCACCCATATAATCAGAAAAAACATGCTTTACAGTAAAAGTGAAATACTTTTTTTTACTTTTGGAAATCCACAACCTAAATCCCTCTCTTCTTTCCACTGTTTGCAGTATTTGTGGACATAGGGGTTTTTTTCTTTTGCCAATCCTTGATTTAGACTTTATCATCACTAGACATATCTGCGATAGTAAATAAAAAATTACATGATTCACTAAAAGTAAGCTGAATATAGTTTTATTATTCAGTTATGTAATTCTTACGTCGTTCAATCACGACGTTTGATATTTATTGACTTGTCAAGTCAATTTAAAATAATTTTTGTTTTCATAATAACGCATTGAATAGTACCAAAAATCTGGGTACATGTACCATTATTAAGTATTTTTGTATATTATCATTACTTCATAATATATTATGGTTATTTCATACCGAATTTAAGGTAAACAAGATGTAAAAAAAAAAGTGTTTGTTGTTTACACACTTTATCGTTTATATTACAATATACTAGCGGATTTCATGTAACCAAAATTCAAAGTACAAAATAAAACCTAATACAATGTCGATAGGAAACCCAAATTTGAGCCTCTGGTTTAATAATTCTGTACACGTTAGAAAATAATCGTTCTAATACATTGGTTAACACTTTTCCAGATAGAAAACAAAAATACCCAAAAATATGAGTTTCCCATATTAAATGTTAAATTTAGAACAGTTGCGATTAATTAGACCAAACCCTTAGAAAGGGCTTTATTTTTTATATAATACATGGTGGTTAAAAAAAAGTCTGGAATCAAAATATATACCAAGATCTTTATAATTAAGGAGCAACGGGATAGGATAAGATTAAAGAGACTATAAAATTATAAATAATGCCTTACCACAATAACACAAATTCCTTGGCATTTGACTATTAATCCAAAAATGTCATTAAGTATTTCCGTTTAAACAAACTATAAGAGGTATTCATGTATGAAATTTAAAATGCATCTTTTTGTTTTTAACAGCAATGTTTTTCTTTACGCTTTCAGTAATATTACAGGTAAACAAAAAAAAAAAAAAAACAAATACAGTCTAAACCAAGTACAGTATAAAATAGCATGCCTAATCAATGTTGACCTTATTAAGCCTGTCAAATTTTTATTCGGTTTTCCCGGATTCGAGAATGGAGGGAGTCAAGAAGAAAAGTTAAGACAATAGATTTATTATAGTGAATAAAGCATTGGCCAAGCTCAATCACAAGTCTAAACCAAAATTAGTGTAAACTAATCACAAAAACAATGGCTGGGTGATAAAAAATCAATTGGATTCGTCATCATCCGCCAAGCACACAGGTTTCAGACAAGAATTTTCTGCATTAATGGCATAATACAGTCTATTGTCAGAAATATTTTCTGGATAGGTCAAAATTACAGTTAAACGAAATAGAACAGCTAAGAGCTATTTTGAAAACCAATTTTTGTGTTATTCCATCATTTTGGAATTTTTTTACTTAATCACTTTTCTTGAATAAGTGATTCGTAATGTATACCTACAATACAGGCTCGTTTCTTTAAATACATATTTCATCTATTTAATTACAATAAAGATAATTTTGAAATTATCTACTGTAAAAACTTATGTACTATGTTCTTTATATGTACTATTAAGTTACATACAAAAATGTAGGTACTAAAATGCGCAGTACGCCCGGTAAACACAATTTGTAAATATTAATTTATTATATTTTGTATCATTGAGCTGCCAAGATGTATATTTTTTTATTTGTGTAGTTAACCCTCGCAGATGTATATAAAAAAAAATGCTGTAAAAATACTGTAGTAATACACAGTGTGATTTTGCAGTCGAGATAATCAGTACACCTTTACTGTTGAATATTATACCTGTATCATATTAAATATGATGAAAATCGAGATTATTATTTTACTTAGTCTAGCATCGTATGCTTCGTAAGTATTTTTTTAAATATAATATTTCTTGCTTAAAACTTGTACAAAAAATCTAATCAAACCTAGAGTTTTGGTGTTTAAAATAAAATGTTTAATATGAACGTTAACTTTTAAGGTGTGCCGGTGATAAATCAAAGGAAAAAGGTAATTAAACATAGAATTTAGTTGTTGGTTAGAGAAAAAAAACAATTTTAATTTGTTATATTTAATAATTTAAAAATGATACAAAATACTTTGTACAGATATATTACCTAAATCAGGCATTGTTTGAATATGATTGTAATTTATAAGTAAATAATATGTAATGTGATTTAAAAGCAGTAATTTAAAAAAGTAACAGGATCTGATATGTATATATAATATAATTTTAATGTAAATAATATAATGTATACATTATGTATCTGACGTCGAATTGGCAAATATACATTCAGCTTATAAAAAGTAAAAAATCCTAAAAAATTTGGTTTGACTATTCATAATAATAATTAGTTGTTATTGTTTTTATTTGTTGATGACCAGCGGAAATATTTATTGAGAGGATGGATGAAGACTGGCAATTGTTAAATAACCTATCAATAAGTAAAAACTCTAAATAGCTGGCTTGACTAATAGTAATAACAATAATTATTTATGGATTTTATTTGTTAATGACCAGGACGAACACCTAAAAAAACGTTTAATTTTGAAGAAAAATCTATGGCTGAAATGAAACTTGAAGCTAAACTGGAGTTTGAAGCCAAACTGAAAGCTGAAGCCGAACAGAAAATTGCTGATGGACTGAAAACTGAAGCCGAGGTTGTTCATACTATTATTTTAATACTATTAGTTTTCTGTCAATATTTTGCTGGATAATTTATAGTATATAGGAAAACATTTTCAAATATAGCCATTCCTATCTAAAAAAATATTAATATTTTAGCCAAGTAACTTGCAAACAATGGAGAAAACTGATAAACAGGTAATTCGTACTATTATTATAAAACTGTTAAGTTTTGTTAATTTTCTTCTCAATTATTTTATAATATAAAGGTTAAAGTTTGGCTAAATAGCCATAACTATGTAGGAAACTATTAATGTTTAAGCTTAAAGACTTATAAATAAAATTCATGTCATGAATAGTTCGATACGTAATTTAATCACTTGAGTTAAATTAATTCAATAATATAAAAGTTATATTTGTACATTTTTTTAGCCAAAAAAATGTATATATTTTACTACTTTGTAAATTACTAAATAATAAGTTCTACTATTATTTTAATACTATTCGTTTTCTGTCAATATTTCGCTGAATAATTTATAGTATAGAGGAAAACATTTTCAAATATAGCCATTCCTATCTAAAAAACTATTATTATTTTAGCCAAGTGACTTGCAAATAACGGAGAAAACTGATGAACTGAAGGTAATTCATACTATTATTATAAAACTATTAGGTTTTTGTTAATGTTTTTCTCAAGTAATTATAATATAAAGGTAATTTTTTTCTAAATAGCCATTACTATGTAGGAAACTATTAATATTTAAGATTAAAAACGACCATTTTTAGGATTAATTTTTTTTTTAGAATCCGAGAAACAATTTTATTTTTATTTATAATAAATTAATAAAAAAACATATTTTATTTATTGTTTGTTTTTAGCACTTAAGTTCTACATATATTGAAGTTTATGCGTATTTAAATTTTATAATCTGATTATTTTTGTGGAATTGAACTTTGTAATAATAAACAATTTTCAGATTGCAGAAGATGCGTTCCACGATTGTATACAATGGGTCATTCTGTACGCAAATTGCCTGCCTTATTGTATGGTAACGTATCATTTTATCATGTACGTGGGTGAAACGGTCAAAAATGAAGAAATCGTGAAAAAGTACATATTTCATAATAGACACCTCCGGGCTAAAAGCGAGAAAAAAAATTGTAAATATTTACTATACACGTTATACATAATTTAATAGTAGTGTTTTTTATCTTCGATGTAAAACTGTTAACTGTAAAGCAGTTGGTTTTAATGAAGGATTTCATTGGCATTTATAAATATTAAAATATGTATCTTTTGTTCTTCTTTAACAACACAATTTATTAATTTTTTGATGGTACCAAACAGTGTATACGTCCTAAAAGTAAGTATGTAATATTTCATGTATATAAATTTAATCTTTACTATTAAAAAAGTAAAATTAAAAAAATGTTATAGTCCCCGAGTCCGGACAAAAATTTAGACAAATAAAAACACATCATTATAAAAACAACACTTTTACAGTTGTACATCGAAGCTAAAATAAATTGTTTCATTGAAAACCCATGAGACAACTGCACCACATTACGCCCCTATAATAACATATATTATTTATATTTAAATTAAATTTTTCTTCTTTTTAGGTTGGATAGATTCACAAGCATTTGCTGAACTCTTTATACACTATTGCAAACAATATGAGTTATCCATAAAAGATTGCTTTATACAAAGGAGAGATGCAGCACGAGTAGAGATGGCAAAAGAGACAGCACTCGACGCAGAGCAAAGGCAATACACAAAATTGATATACCCTTACTACATATTCCCATTTTAATTTTTAAAATAAAAACATTATATATTTTTTTTTAAAAGATTTGTATAATAAATAACTTAATAATAAGATAATTTAATAATCTTTTAAAATGTTATTAAAATAATTTTTCAAAATGCAATACGCTCTAATGATTTTTATGACTCCAAAAACGCTGTTTCTTTTCAAATAAATACCGATCACTTACATTTTGAGCAATATTATTTGGGTTTTAAGAAAAGAAAAAAATCTCCTTTCTCAAAGCTACATTCAACTGTAACAACTAGCTCCAGACAAATAAAGAACTAAGAAGACTTTGGAATTAAGAGCATTTGTTAAAGTACTAATTTTACATGATTTTCTTTAGCATGTAAGATTTCACCTTAGATGATAATACAATATCCTGTAATCATATTGGGACTCGGACATCCAGGTCGCCTTACACAGAGTCAAATGTGGGGGTCATTTCACTAAAATTTCATTTTTTTCCAAATCTTCCAAAATTAGTTTAATAATCTATTCAACAATTATTAAATATCTTTAATAGGGCTAAAAAGTAAAAAACCAAAATAAATAAATAAAAAAAAACTTAAAAAAAAGAAAAAAGTAAAAAATAATTTTAATACAAGAACAATTTACCAATCAGTTGTAGCTATTTTATTTTAAATACTTTACTTTACTTTGAAAACAACCGAAAATTAACTAAAATTTTAAATAATGTTTAACACCTTTATTTTTTTGACTAAAAAATAAGCGTGGGTCCTATTCAACAAATTCCCCAATTCCCTAATTTATCAGATAATGTTTCATATTGTAAGTTCTTTTGTAATTTAAATTTAGTTTAATACTTGTGTGTGACACATACATTTCTTAATACTTAACTCAATGAATTTGGACTTTTTTGAATAGGGCCCACGCTTTTCTTTTTAGTCAAAAATTAAAGATGTATAACATTATTTAAAATTGTAGTTAATTTTCGGTTGTTTTCAAAGTAATTGACATTTTAAATAAAATATAACAAAATTGATTGGTAAATTCTTCTTGTAATAAAATTATTTTTTACTTTTTAGTTCACTTTTTACTTTTTTTTTAGAAAAGCATGTTTTTAAAAAGTTTTTTTTTGCATTGTGTAATAATGTCGTGTGGACTTATTGACCGGGATTATAGCTAACTTGGTCCTCACCGGTCGGCCTATTGGTGTGGTTTGCCGCTAAAAACCCGGGTGGTCACCCATCCGGGATCAAGCGGCACCGGTCGCAGCTTAACCTCAGGCGCCTTGCGGCAGCTGCGTTATCCACTGCGCCACACCGTACCCGTTTTGCATTGTGTACAAACTACGAAGTGAAAATAATTTAAGGTAGTCATGATGTTTTTTTTTTTTTAGTTTTTTATTTAGAAATTATACAATCTGTAATATATTTAATTACAATAAGCATAAAAGATGATTTTGAGGTAAACAGATATATAATAATATAGCGGTTGTTTAAGACGAGACGTTTGGCATGGATATGAGTTGCCCAATATAAGGCGGCGGTCTAGGTGTAGGCCCAGGTATCTGACATTTTGAGCGGTTGGAAGGGGTATGTTATTGAGGTAGATATGTGGGCAGTCTGTCCGTTTTAGAGTAAACGTGCAGTGGACGGATTTAGTCTCGTTGATTTTTAATCCCCATTCTTTATACCAAGTTGATGACAGGTTGAGGTGGTTTTGGATAAAGTTTGAGGCCGTTTCAGGGTCGGCGTGGAGGGCTAGGAGAGCTTTATCGTCAGCAAAGTCGCCGGTAGTGGTGTATGGTGTAGTGGGTTGATCCGAGGTGAAAAGATTGAATAACAAAGGTGCTGCGACAGCTCCTTGAGGAACACCAGCACGAATTGGAGATATTTCAGAAAAGGAAGAATCTGATCGCACAGTAAAGTGTCTATTTTCCAAGTAAGGTTTAAATAACAGGTAGAAATATGGGGGAAGAAAAGATTTTAGTTTGAAGAGTAGACCATCGTGCCATACTTTGTCAAAGGCTTGTGTCATATCCAAAAATGCACCCGTGCATACTAGCTTTTTCTCTAGTGTGTAGGAAATTTTGTCAACTAAGCGGTGTACTTGGAGAGTAGTTGAGTGGTTGTGACGAAAACCAAATTGTGTGTTTGGGAGGTTGGATTCGATGGTAGAGAGGGTACGAGTCATGATGTAATTTAGATTTTTTTCATAGAGTACACGTGCAATATTTTTATTTTTAATTAAGAGTTATAATGTGCTTGTGAACCAATTGAGAAATTTGTGTCTGAATTTTAGTTTGTTTGGAATATACGAGTTGATGACAAAGAACAGAAGAGAGTATGAACTATTATGTTACATACAAAAATGTTGGTACTAAATTTCACAATAGGCACGGCAAACATGTTTTGAATATTTTGTACCGCCAAGCAACCAAGAGGCAAGATGTATAATTTTTCTTTTGTGTAGTTAGCTTCGCAAAAGTATCAAAAAAAAAAAAAGTCTGTAAAAATACTGTTGTAATACACTGTGTGATTTTGCAGTCGAGATAAACAGTATTATAGTTCATTTATTATTTCCGTTTAAACAAACTATAAGAGGTATTCATGTATGAAATTTAAAATGCATCTTTTTGTTTTTAACAGCAATGTTTTTCTCTACGCTTTCAGTAATATTACAGGCAAACAAAAAAAAAAAAACAAATACAGTCTAAACCAAGTACAGTATAAAATAACATGCCTAATGTTGACCTTTTATTAAGCCTGTCAAATTTTTATTCGGTTTTCCCGGATTCGAGAATGGAGGGAGTCAAAAAGAAAAGTTAAGACAATAGATTTATTATAGTGAATAAAGCATTGGCCAAGCTCAATCACAAGTCTAAACCAAAAATTAGTGTAAACTAATCACAAAAACAATGGCTGGGTGATAAAAAATCAATTGGATTCGTCATCATCCGCCAAGCACACAGGTTTCAAGACAAGAATTTTCTGCATTAATGGCATAATACAGTCTATTGTCAGAAATATTTTCTGGATAGGTCAAAATTACAGTTAAACGAAATAGAACAGCTAAGAGCTATTTTGAAAACCGATTTTTGTGTTATTCCATCATTTTGGAATTTTTTTACTTATTCACTTTTCTTGAATAAGTGATTCGTAATGTATACCTACAATACAGGCTCGTTTCTTTAAATACATATTTCATCTATTTAATTACAATAAAGATAATTTTGAAATTATCTACTGTAAAAACTTATGTACTATGTTCTTTATATGTACTATTAAGTTACATACAAAAATGTAGGTACTAAAATGCGCAGTACGCTCGGTAAACACAATTTGTAAATATTAATTTATTATATTTTGTATCATTGAGCTGCCAAGATGTATATTTTTTTATTTGTGTAGTTAACCCTCGCAGATGTATATAAAAAAAAAATGCTGTAAAAATACTGTAGTAATACACAGTGTGATTTTGCAGTCGAGATAATCAGTACACCTTTACTGTTGAATATTATACCTGTATCATATTAAATATGATGAAAATCGAGATTATTATTTTACTTACTCTAGCATCGTATGCTTCGTAAGTATTTTTTTAAATATAATATTTCTGGCTTAAAACTTGTACAAAAAATCTAACCAAACCTAGAGTTTTAATGTTTAAAATAAAATGTTTAAAATGAACGTTAACTTTTAAGGTGTGCCGGTGATAAATCAAAGGAAAAAGGTAATTAAACATAGAATTTAGTTGTTGGTTAGAGAAAAAAAAAATTGTAATTTGTTATATTTAATAATTTAAATATGATACAAAATACTTTGTACAGATATATTACCTAGAACAGGTCTGGGCATTGTTTGAACACAACATGTTATCTAATTAAGCAGACAAATGCAGTTTTATTTTCATATGAATTTTTTATTTTTTTTACTTTTTTTGGAATTCATGTACTTTATGCGCTAAAAAAGATGTTGAAGTCAGTGCAAATACTATGTACATAAATGTATTTGAAATTTAAACTGGGACACGCCTAATGAATAATCGATAAAATTGTTGACTAAATCCGACTGTTTTCCCCAAAGATATAGCAAGTTCAAGTCGAAAGTTGAAAACTCGTCAAATTTTTTTTCTGTCTTTCCCGTTTCGGAGGGTGAAGAAGTTGACTTTTTCGACGTTGACCCACCAAAGTACCAATCGCATTCGATTTCGGATCTATAGAACTGCTAATCGAGCTATTCGAGTTAATTCAACTTATATTTTACTTGGATAACCTTCGATTTTCTAAGCTATTATAACAATCTATTACAAACACAAAAAATAAGCATAATTTGAGTGAAATGGTGCTACAAGTTAAATGTGATTTAAAAGCAGTAATTAAAAAAAGAAACAGAATTTGATATTTATATGTTTATAATGTATATAATATATAATATGTGTATACATAATGTAATTGACGTCGGATTAGCGAGTATACAATCACCTTAAAGTAAGTAAAAGTTAGTTTGCCTATTCATAATAGTAATTAGTTGTTATTGTTTTTTATTTGTTCATGACCAGCGGAAGTATTTATTGAGAGGATGGATGAAGACTGGCAATTGTTAAATAACCTATCAATAAGTAAAAACGCTAAATAGTTGGCTTGACTAACAAAAATAACAATTAATATTAATGGGTTTTATTTGTTAATGACCAGGACGAACACCTAAAAAAACGTTTGATTTTGAAGAAAAATCTATGGCTGAAATGAAACTTGAAGCTAAACTGGAGTTTGAAGCCAAACTGAAAGCTGAAGCCGAACAGAAAATTGCTGATGGACTGAAAACTAAAGCTGAGGTTGTTCATACTATTATTTTAATACTATTAGTTTTCTGTCAATAATTTGCTGAATAATTTATAGTATAAAGGAAAACATTTTCCAATGTAGCCATTCCTATCTAAAAAAATATTATTTTTTTAGCCAAGTAACTTGCAAACAACGGAGATAACTGATGAACAGGTTATTCATACTATTATTAAAAAAATATGTTAATTTTTTTCTCAATTATTTATAATATAAAGGTTGAAGTTTTTCTAAATAGCCAACTTTATCTAGGAAACTATAAATATTTTAGTTTAAGACTTACAAATAAAATTAATTTCGTACATATTTATTATCAAAATAAGTTTCAATATTGTTTGTTAGAAAAATTGTTTTGATATTCTTATATTAGAATAAAGTTAGATACGTAACTTAATTATTTGAGTTAAATTCATTCAATAATATAAATATTTTACTTATAAATTTTTTCACTAAATAATAAGTTCTACCATTTTTTGATTTAATAAATAATTATTGGTATCAGTAAATCCGAACGTAATCAAAAATGTATTCTAAATAAAATACAATTATTTTTAAAATTTAAAGTATACGTATTTAATGTAATAATATCTAAATTGATTTTTGTATAATTTTTTCATTTGGTTTCTAAAACATTAAAACTTAAAATAATACATTTTTTCAATAAAATAATATTTAAATTGTTTTTGGAAAATAAAAAATTAAAGGTTGTAATAATGCGGAAGTATTTGGCATAACTGCTATTACAATTTTAATATTTTCTAAATTAATTTTTAAAAAATAACAACCATTTTTTAGGTTTATTTTTTTTTTTTAAATCCAAGAAACAATTTTTTTTTTTTTTTAGTTAAAAAAAATACAAAAAATCAATTTTTTATTTTTTTATAATAAATTAATAATAGACATATTTTGTTTATTGTTTATTATTTAGCACTCAAGTACTACGTATATTTAAGTAAATGCGTATTTATATTTTATAATCGGATTTTTTTGTGGTTGTATTGATAAACAATTTTTAGATTGCAGAAGATGCGTTCCATGATTGTATACAATTGGTCATTCTGTACGAACATTCCAGACCTTTTTGTATGGCAACGTTTCATTTTCTCATGTACATGGGTGTAACTGACAAAAATGAAGAAATCGTGAAAGAGTACATATTTCATAATAGACACCTCCGGGCTAAAAGCGAGAAAAAAAATTGTAAATATTTACTATACACGTTATACATAATTTAATAATAGTGTTTTTTATCTTCGATGTAAAACTGTTAACTGTAAAGCAGTTGGTTTTAATGAAATGATTTCATTGGCATTTATAAATATTAAAATATGTATCTTTTGTTCTTCTTTAACAACACAATTTATTAATTTTTTGATGGTACTAAACAGTGTATATGCTTTAAAAGTGTTTAATAATTACCGTCCGGAAGATGTAAAAAGTTACCAAAACAAAAAAAACATGTTATGTAATATTTCATGTATATAAATTTAATTATTACTATTCAAAGACGCTTAAAAAGTAAAAAAAAAAAAAATGTTATAGCACATCATTGTAAAAACAACACCTTTACAGTTGCACATCGAAGCTAAAAAAAATCGTTTCACTGACCACCGATGAGACAACTGCACCACATTACGCCCTATAATAACATATATTACTTATATTTAAATTAACTCTTTTTCTTTTAGGTTGGGTAGATTCACAAGTATTTGCTGAACTTTTCGTACACCATTGCAAACAATATGAGTTATCCATTAAAGATTGCTTTATACAAAGGAAATACGCAGCACAAGTAGAGATGGCAAAAGAGTCACCGAGTGACGCATTTCGTAGGAAACACACTAAAATGATATACTCTTACTACAATTTCCAATTTTAATTTTTATATAAAAACATTATATTTTTTTAAAAAAAGGTTTATATAATTTATAAATTAATAATAAGATAATTTAATAATCTTTTAAAATGTTATTAAAATAATTTTTCAAAATGCAATACGCTCTAATGACTTTTATGACTCCAAAAACGCTGTTTCTTTTCAAATAAATACCGATCACTTACATTTTGAGCAATATTATTTGGTTTTTAAGAAAAGAGAAAAACTCCTTTCTCAAAGCTACATTCAGCTGTAACAGCTAGCTCCAGACAAATAAAGAACTAAGAAGACTTTGGAATTAAGAGCATTTGTTAAAGTACTATTTTTCTTCTTGTATACCTACAGAGGAAAATTATAGCCAAATAATTCATCTATGCCTTGATTATTGTCGGCTACATTACTATAAAGAGTACCAAATCTATTTGGGTTGGTTTTAAGGGAGTGTTGAGTAAAATATAAATAATTGAAATAATCGACTTTACTTTGATTTTTGCATTGTGTACAAACAACGAAGTGAAAATAATTTAAGGTAGTCATGATGTAATTTAGATTTTTTTCATAGAGTACACGTGCATTATTTTTATTTTTAATTAAGAGTTTTAATCGGGAATATTGTGTCTGAATTTTTGTTTGTTTGGAATATTGGAAGAGAGTATAAACTATTATGTTGTTATTATTATTATTATGTTACATACAAAAATGTAGGTACTAAAATTCACAATACGCTCGGTGAACATATTTTGTATATTTTGTACCGTCAAGCTACCAAGAGGCAAGATGTATAATTTTTTATTTGTGTTAGCCTCGCAGATGTATAAAAAAAAAAGGCTGTAAAAATACTGTAGTAATAAACTGTGTGGTTTTCAGTCGAGATAAACAGTATAACTTAGCTGTTGAATATTATACGTGTATCATATTAAATATGATGAAAATCGAGATAATTTTTTTCCTTAGTCTAGCAGCGTATGCATTGTAAGTTTTTTATAAAAATAATATTTCTGGCTTAAAACTTGTATAAAAAATCTAATCAAACCTAGAGTTTTGGTTTTTAAAAGATAACTTTTACAATTAACGTTAACTTTTCAGGTGTGGCCTTTATGATTCAGCGGAAAAAGGTAATTAAATATAGAATTTAGTTGTTGGTTCAAAAAAAAAAACATTTAAAATAAATTAAATTTAAATATGTTACAAAATACTTTGTACAGATTTGTTACCTGAAACAGGCATTGTTTGAAAATAACATGTTATTTGATTAAGCAAACAATTATATAATGAATTTTAACAATTATTTGACATAAATGTAGTTTTATTTCTAGATGATGTTTTTATTTTTTTACTTTTTTGGATTTCATGTACTTTATGCGCTAAAACAGATGGCGAGGTCAGCGCGCCAGGGCAAATATTATGTACATATAATTAAAAAAAAACAAAATATCTGGCATTTTAACTGGGGCACGCCAAATAATCGATAAAATTTATGACTAGAACAAACCGTTTTTGGCTAAGATAAAGTTAAAGTTAAAAATTGAAAAATTTGCCTTGAAGTTAACTTTATCTTAGATTTTTATTTTACTATTGGTACTAAAGTACCAATGGCTCGGAAGCATAATTCGAGCGAAATGATGCTACGAGTTAAATGTGGCTTAAAAGTAGTATTTAAAATAAAGTAACAGATATGTACACATCATGTAACTGACGTCGGATTAGCAAATGTACAAACAACTAAAAATAAATTAAAAAAACCCTAAACATTTTGTTTTGATTTATCATAATAATAATTAGTTGTTATTGTTTTTATTTGTTGATGACCAGCGGAACTATTTATTGAGAATATGGATGAAGACTGGCAAATGATAAATCACCTAAAAAGTTGGCTTGACTAATAATAATAACAATTCATATTTATGGTTTTTATTTGTTAATGACCAGGACAAACACATAAAAAAACTTTTGCTTTAATTTCAGCTGATTTTGAAGACCTAACTGAAGCTAAGGTTAAATACACTATTATATTAATACTAGGTATCAGGTTTTTGTCCATAAATGTATATATTTTACTACATTGTAAACTACTAAATATTAAATTCTATCACTCTTTGATTTAATAATTAAATATTGGTATCAGTGATTCCGAACGTAATAAAAATATATTCTAAACAAAATACAATATTAGTGGATTTTTTTGTGGTGTTAAACATTATATTGATAAACAATTTTCAGATTGTAGAAGATGCGTTCTATGATTGTATACAATGGGCCAGTCAGTACGAAAATTCCCTGCCTTATTGTATGTCAACGTATCTTTTTATCATGTACATGGGTAAAACTGAAAAAGATAAAGATATCGCGAGAGAGTACTTAATACGTAAAAAACACCTCTTGGCTGCAAGCATGAAAAAAGAATGTAAACTTTTAATACACACGTTACATATAATTTAATAATATTTTTTTTATCTTCGATGTGCAACTGTAAATCAGTTTGATTTAATGAAATTATTTCATTGGCATTTATAAATATTAAAATATGTATCTTTTGTTCTTTTTTAACAACACAACTTATTAATTTTTTGATGGTACCAAACAGTGAATGCGTCCTAAAAGTGTTAAACATTTACCGTCCGGAAGATGTAAAAAGTTACCAAAAAAAACATATTATGTACTATTTCACGTATATAAATTTAATCTTTACTATTCAAATACGCTTAAAAAAGTAAAATTAAAAAAATGTCCGGATAAAAATTTAGACAAATAAAATTACATCATTATAAAAACAACACCTTTACAGTTGCACATTGAAGCTAAAATAAATAGTTTCATCGACAACCGATGTGATAACTGCACCACATTACGCCCCTATAGTAAAATAACATATATTATTTATATTTCAATTAAAAACTTTTGTTTTTTTTTTAGGTTGGATAGATTTACAAGCATTTGCTGAACTCTTCATACACCATTGCAAACAATATAAATTATCCATTAAATATTGCGCTGCACAAAGGAAATACGCAGCACAAGTAGAGAAGCAAAAAGAGACAGAACTCGACGCAGAGCGTAGGCTATATCTAAAAATGATGTACCCTAACTTCGATTTCCCTTTTTAATTTTTAATTTAAAAACATTTTTCAAAAAAGTTTATATTTTAAATGAACTAATAATAATGTAATTTAATAATCTCTCGAAATGTTATGAAAATAATTTTTCAGAATGCAATACGCCCTAATGACTTTTATGACTCCAAAAACGCTGTTTCTTTTCCAAAATAAACACCGATTATTTACATTTTGTCCAATATTATTTTGATTCTTAAGAAATGAGAAAATCTCCTTTCTCAAGCCTCTATTCATCTGTAACTGAAATTTGTATTATACAGCATTTTGTATAATAGCAATTTATATAATACAGAAAATGAAACAATGCTGTGTTAACGTCCCCGCTACGTCACAATCTTAGCAGTTCAAAATGGTTTAATAATGATAATTGGCTATTTTATATTATAAATAAATCTGAGTTAACTAATGGAAGTTTCTCTGCGCTTAGTTTAAATCAACTAAATAACATCAATAATGATTTTGGTTCAACTCTAGATTTAATATTTACAAGTAATGAATCATTAATTGTAAACGAGTGTGATCGGTATCACCCATTTTTAACAATGGAATTACCAGTTGAATCAAATAAACAGTATAAATCCTATTTGTGGTATTATGACTTTGATAATATTTATGTATTTTAATGGGTTATCGTACGATTTTAGCAGTTGTGATTGGTCTAACATCTATAGCTGTAATGTTATTAATGTTGCAGTAAAACATGCTTATGATAGATTAAATGAAGGCATTCATTTATTTGTTGCTATGAATGTTTGTGGACAGTACAGTCCAAACAAAGCACAGTATTAACCTGCATAGTAAGAAAGCATTATAAGATAATGAGTAGTAGTAGTATTAAGTGAGTAAGTAAGGTAGGTCTAGTGTTCACAGATAAAAATACAAAAATCGTTAAAAGCATTGTATCTAAAGACAATTATGTGCTTTACAAATAAGTTTTAGTATTAGGGGGGTTACGGGTAATCTTGTGATTGCAGCGTTGGGCCTTCGTGGTCTGTTAAGCTCACATGATGATGATGTCGATTAGGGTTCAATTGTTTGTCTGTCTTTAAAATGTATTTCCACAGTTACCCATACATATATTGTAGTTAACAAAATAATTAAAATATTTTCATTACCCGTGACTGCTGATTCACTCACACATAGCTACCTGGAAATTGAATTCAGTCAAAGTGTAATTTTCCCTGTTTGGAGGGGGGGGGGGTTCCTCAATAAAAAAAATGTCATAGATTATATTAATAACATTTTACAGTCAATTGTCAGAAATATTTTTAGGAGACGGCCAATTTTTGAACAGATCAACAAAATAGATAAGCTAAAGGCTATTTTGAAAACTGTATTTTGTGTTATTCCATCTTTTTGGATTTTGGTTACACTTTTTCGAATAAGTGATTCGTATAGTATTATCTAAAGTATAGGCTCGTTTCTTTATTTTTTTAAAGGTATCTCACATATCAATTGTTGTAAATTTCTCTACATTTTGGGCTTTTTTAGTTTAAACACATAGTCGTTTTCTTTTTATTGTACACTGAATTTTTGAAAACTTTATTATATTACGATTTGTATTATTTATAAAATGGTATAGTGCGGTAGAAATGAAAAAATACTAGCACACCTGTGTATATAAATTCTAAAATCAAACCTTGCAATAAACTATGTCAATCAATAATTGTAGGATAGTACATACATTTTTTCTTAACAATCTGTAGTAACACACAGTGAGATTTTGCAGTCGAGTTAAACAAGTACATTGTTACAGTTGAGTATTATATTAAGTATGATGAATATCAAGATTATACTTTTACTTAGTCTAGCAGCGTATGCTTCGTAAGTATTTGTTTTAAACATAATTACTGGCTAAAACTTGCATAACAAATCTTATCAAATCTAGAGTGTTGGCGTTTTAAATATAGCTTTTAAAATGAACGTTAACTTTCCAGGTGTGGCTTAAATGACCCAGGCTGCTCGGCGGAAAAAGGTAACTAAATAGAATTTAGTTGTTGGTTACAAAAAAAAAAACATTTAAAATAAATTAAATTCAAATATAAAACCTAAATATGTTAACTGAAACAGGCTTGGGCATTGTCTGAAGAAAAAAAAATGTTATTTGTTTAAGCAGACAATTATATAATGTATTTTATTTAAATGTTAGACATAAATTTAGTTTTATTTCCATATATATTTTTTTAAACTTTTTTGGAATTCGTGTACTTTCTGCGCTAAAAAAGATGTGTCGTGAACGTGTCACTGTCAGCGAAAATAGTATGCGCATAAATTGAAAAAATGTATCAGGCATTTAAACTAGGACACGTCTAACAAATAATCCATAATATTGTTGACTAGATCCGTCCGTTAAAGTTTAAAAACCCGTAAATTTGTTTTTGCCTTTCCCGGTTTCGAGGGTGAAGAAGTTGACTAGAGTTTATTTAACTTAAATTTTACTAATAGAACCTTTGATTATCTAAGCTATTATAATAAGTGCTAACACAAACACAAAAAATAACTAAATTCGAGCGAAATGATGCTATAAGTTAAATATGATTTAAAAGCAGTAATTCAAAAAAAGTATCAGGTATGTATATATTTAAAATGTATATACATAATATAATGTATACATTATGTATCTGACGTCGAATTGGCAAATATACATTCACCTAATAATAAGTAAAAAATTCTAAAAAATTTGGTTTGGCTATTCGTAATAGTAATTAGTTGTTATTGTTTTTATTTGTTCATGACCAGCGGAAGTATTTATTGAGAGGATGGATGAAGACTGGCAATTGTTAAATAACCTATCAATAAGTAAAAACTCTAAATAGTTGGCTTGACTAACATAAATAACAATTAATATTAATGGGTTTTATTTGTTAATGACCAGGACGAACACCTAAAAAAACTTTTGATTTATGTCCATCTGATTATGAAGATAAATCTATTGCCGAACAGAAACTTGAAGCTAAACTGGAGTTTGAAGCCAAACTGAAAGCTGAAGCCGAACAGAAAATTGCTGATGGACTAAAAACTGGAGCTGAGGTTGTTCATACTATTATTTTAATACAATTAGTTTTCTGTCCTAGCCATTCCTATCTAAAAAACTATTATTATTTTAGCCAAGTGACTTGCAAACAACGGAGATAACTGATGAACAGGTAATTCATACTATTATTAAAAAACTATTAGGTTTTTGTTAATATTTGTCTTAATTAATTATAATATAAAGGTTAAAGCTTTTCTAAAAAGCAATCATTATGCAGGAAGCTATTAAAATTTTAGCTTAAAGACTTACAATTAAAATTCATGTCATAAATTTGTATAGTCTAGATAAGTTATTATTATTGATTGTTATAATTAGCTATAAAAATTAATTTTTTTGTTTTTAATTATAATAAATCAATAAAAAATATATTTCTTTTATTGATTGTTATCTAGCACATACGTTTTACGTATATTTAAGTATAATATGCGTATTTAAATTTTATAATAATATTTTTTTTGTGGAATTAATCTTTGTATTGAAAAACTATTTTCAGATTGTAGAAGAAGCGTTCCATAATTGTATACAATTGGTCATTCTGTACGAACATTCCAGACCTTTTTGTATGGCAACGTATCATTTTATCATGTACATGGGTGTAACTGACAAAAATAAAGATATCGTGAAATTGTACTTACTTCGTAATAGACACCTCTTGGTTAAAAGCGAGGAAAACTATGTAAATATTTACTACACCACGTTACATATAATTTAATAATATTATTCTTTTATCTTCGATGTGACACTGTAAAGCAGTTGGTTTTGAGGAATTTTTTTTATTTCGAACTTATAAATATCTTCTTTTTTTTTTATCAACTAACCTTATTAATTATTTAATGTTATCAAACAGTGAATGCGTCCTAAAAGTGTTAAACATTTACCGTCCGGAAGATGTAAAAAGTTACCAAAAAATATATATTCTCTAATATTTCATGTATATATTTTAAATCTTTATTATTCATTTACGCTTAAAAAAGTAAAATAATAAAGCCCATTATCCCGGACAATTATGTAGACAAATAAAAACACATCATTATAACAACAATACATTTTCAGCTCCACGTCAAAACTTAAATAAATTGTTTCATCGACAATTGATGTGACAACTCTACCACATTACGCTCCTGTAATAACATATATTGTTTATATTTAAATTAAAACATTTTTTTTTTAGGTTGGATAGATTCACAAGCATTTGCTGAGCTTTTCGTACACCATTGCAAACAATATGAGTTATCCATTAAAGATTGCTTTATACAAAGGAGAGATGCAGCACAAGTAGAGATGGCAAAAGAGACTCCATTAGACGCATATTATAGGAAAAATTTAAAACTAATGCACAGGGACTACAAGTTCCCTTTTTAATATAATAACATTATAATTTTTTTCAAAAAGGTTTATATTTTAAATAAATTAATAATAATATAACTTAATAATCTCCTAAAATGTTTTTAAAATAATTTTTCGAAATGCTATACGCCCTAATGACTTTTATGACTTTAAATACGCTGTTTCTTTTCAAATAAACACCGATTACTTACATTTTGTGCAATATTATTTTGATTTTTAAGAAAACAGAAAATCTTCTTTCTCAAGGCTCCATTCAACTATAAGAACTAGCCCTACGCAGGATTGTTTCTTATACATGATATTCAAACGAAAGCATAATATGCATAATTGCGATTTGTATAATACAGAAAATAAAACAATGATTTGTTAACGTAGTGGGAGATTACTATCTTAGCAGGTCAAAATGGTTTAATAATGATATTTGGCTATTTTATATTATAAATAAATCTGAGTTAATTAATGGAAGTTTCTCTGCGCTTAATTTATATCAACTAAATAACATCAATAATGATTATGGTTCAAAAGACAATTATGCGCTCAGCAAATAATTTTTAGTATTAGAGGGATTACGATTAAGGTTATAGCAACCATCTTATGATGGCAGTGTTGGGCCTTCGTGGTCTGTTAAGCGCGCATGATGATGATGTCGATTAGGGTTCGATCGTCTGTCTATAAAAATGTATTTCCACAGTTACCCATACTGGACATTTTACATTGTAGTTAACAAAATAATGAAAATATTTTCATTACCTGTGACTGTTGATTCATTCACACATAGCTGCCTAAATTGACTACGGTCAAAGTGTAATTTAAACAGGCCTGGGAATTGTTTGAAAATAATATGTTATTTGTTTAAGCAGACAATTATATATTATGTATTTAATTAAAATATTAGACATAAATAAAGTTTTATTTCCAGATACACTAAACGGCGTTATGTATATGCAACTGTGCTACATGAACGCATTGATTGGTATTGGTATTATAGACAGAGACTAGGGCTCCTCGAAAAATGCGAGTGTGCTTCTTGCTTAAATATTAGGGTAAAATTTTTTCTAAATTTAAAAGAAATATTAAAAATCAAGTGTCTGGTGTTGCTTACTTTATGGGCTTAGTAAGCAATGGTTTCAACGGAAAGCAATGTCTAGAGACCAGTCGGCTAAATGTCTGGTATACCTATGTGAAACAAAACTTTTTTAAACCTAGTATATTATTACTGCAGTAGCGTATTTACGGGGGGGGGATCAAGGGGATCAATCCCCCCCCCATGGGATGTATATAATATGCAAATAACTATAGCCATCATGTTTAAAATATAACATTTTTTTTTTATTGTGCATTGATTACTGAATACATTAATTGCAAGAATTAAAATATTGTTTGTATATTCGAGTTGGTATCTCTGGTCAGTGATCACACCGCGACCGCGGTGATTGCGGGTTGAGTGTTCTCCTGGAGTGATAATACGGTGGTATACAGGTCTATGCACCATATTTTTGACGTTAATATCAGTATCCATGACGGACATGTTATCACAACTCACAAGCGTCTTATCATTATCTAGTAATTGATCTAGATTCTAGTTTCTAGGTTTTGAATGCTTATTTCATTCAAGATTTTCTGACGAAGACAGGGAGGAATTCAATCACTTGTTTGATTTATATTCTCCCACAATTGATGAAACACATATTAATGCTGAACTCAAAATGTGGAAATTGAAATTGACCACTAGTGATTTACTAATTAAAAATGGCTTAGAAGCTCTAAACAATTGAAGACCTTGGGGCAACAACAAGACATGTCCTTTTTTTCAAAATGTTTTTAAACCCAAAAATGTTTTTTCAAAATATTCTAAAAAATGTTTTTTTTCAAAACGTTTTAAATTCTAAAAAAATAATTTTTTAGAATATTTTGGAAAAAAATGTTTGGGTTTAAAAACATTTTGAAAAAAAGGACATGTCTTGTTGTTGTTGCCCCAAGGTCTTCAATTGCGATGATGAAATATATCCCGATATCAATTTTGTATTAAAAATATTTGTGACTTTGCCTGTTTCAACTGCAACTCCAGAGAGAAGTTGCTCCAGTTTAAAACGGCTTAAAACGTACCGAAAGTGGGCAAACTTAAACTGAATAGACTATAGCAACAAAATCAAGAAAATTAGATTTTGTATTATAATAGCCTGTTACAATAAAATATTTAATCTCGAGTAATGCGTTATATATTATAATTTTGGCATCATAGATTGTATATAAATTATAATGTTAATAAGTTATTATATTTCATGGAAACTCTGGGGGTGAGTCTGTGACCGCTTGATAAATTCATATCCCCCCAAAACAAAAACCTAAGTACGCCACTGATTATTAGGTATATGTCTAAATATGGGTCAAATTAAAATCTTAATCTGTTTAGAATTCACCGTCTACGACTGGTTTCGGTCATGACGTTACTGTACGTTTAAAATTTAAGTATCGGAGTTACACACGGCATGAAGCATTAAAGGCGTATACTTAAGATCTGGTGGTCTATCAGGAGTTCAAAAGTGTAGAAGAACTCAAGAGTAAAAAACACGAATGATATGTCTAGAGGTCAATCATGCAAGTCTTTTAAGTTTTTAGATCTGGACAATTATATAATAATAATAAACAGTGTATAAAATACCTATATTATTTGATTGTTGTACAAACATATAACTTACTTGTCCACAGCAATATTTTATATACTAGATAAATTGATATTTATTTTTAAGTTAACCACAAAAGTAAAAATCCATGAATTGATATTTTTTTTATATGGATCATTAAAACTTCATCCTACTAAATTTAAATAATAACAAAATTGAAAAAAGTAAAATAATGTATTCAACAAGTTTTCTGTTTAAAATTTTTTTTTAAAAATAAGGTGGTAACTTTTGTACTATGTATGATGATAATAATTGTAAACATAGGACAAAAAAATGATTTGGTAGACATAAGTAGTTATTTTTTTATTTAGTGATTCAGTTATTTTATTATTGAGAATGAGTGTAGCGGAGATGAGAATGCTTAGATGGATGAGTGGAGTGTCTAGGGAGGATAGAATAAGAAATTAATACATAAGTGGGAGTCTAGGAGTTGCACCAATTGTAGGGTAAACGAGAGAGAATAGGTTGAATGGTTTGGTCATGTTATAAGAAGATATGGGACAGAGGCAGTGAGAGGTGTAGGACTACAGTGCCCGGCACCGTGTAATTGAGAGTGTAAGGATAAGATGAAGAAGAAGATTTATTAGATTTAAGTACCTAGGTACCATAATAACAGTTTTTGAAATCCATTTAGTATAGAAAGTTCAGCAGGTGAATTCTAGAAAGCTATGGAACTTACCGCTGCAAATTTAGAAGGGGAAGGTGTATTTCAAGATGGTGTAATAATTGCGGGCAAAACGATAGAGCAACATAACGATAGGTTAAAAAAATTACTTAATATTCTTTCGGAATCTGGTTTAAGAGTTAAAAGAAATAAATGCTGTTTTTGTCAAAGAACAAATATTTAAAAATAATAATTTTTTATGAAAGTATTTTTAATTGATTTGTTGCCTAAGCGTTTTGGTATTTATCTATATTGATGAAATCTAGTCTAAGTAAACTCTGTTTAGATTTTTCAACGTAATTCAGCTAGTACAGGATTCCTAAACAATATCGCTAAAATACCATTAGTATAAATTCTGCCAAAACTATATAGTCGTTACCTAACCTAACCGCGTGCCATATATCGACTGCCCCAACGAAAAGGGTCGTATCTCGTTTTTTGCAACTTTTTAGGATGAACCAAACAAACATTGAAATTTAAATTTTTATTATGTTTTTTAACATATCAGTGTGAAAAATTTGGATACATATTATAGCAAAAGTTACAAAAAACGAGATACGACCTTTTTCGTTGGGGCAGTCGATATGTCTGTCGTTTAAAAGAGAACTTTATTAGACATTTATTATATATATAGTAATAAAATAATATATCACCATGGATGGCGCATATATTATACAAGGTGATCTAACTAGTACAATATATATTTTACTAAGTTTTTCAATATTTAGAATTTTTTTTTATCTTCAACCCTTATATGTAAAACAAGTATCGCATTCGGGGGTTTTAATGGGAACGTATGTTTTTAATTTTTATAGAAACATTTTTTAAAACAGTTTTAGCGTTTGAATTTCTAATTTTCATCAATCGGTTCTTTACCTAATCTGTTGTACAGATTTGACATTTTGATCCATATTCATTTGGGATTTCAACACAGGTAGCATGTTAACTGCTCGTTAATAATAAGATCGACCCCGTCGGCCGTCGATAAAACCGATAACCAGATAATAATAAAAATCCTTACTTTTTTTTAATAATATATGGAGGAGCGGTTCTATACGGTCTTATCGGGGACAGTATTACTGATAGGGATCAGTATTATTATTTAATAGCAAATAGAAGTGCTACTGTTTTAAAGAACCCAGAAAATATTGATTTTAAATTCAAATCTTTATAGAATCCTAGCAAACGGACAGATAGTTGAAAGTTACAAATTCAAACGCTAAATTTTATTTTAAAATTATTTTTACAGATTTATGAAATGAAAAACATACGTTCTTGTTTAAAAACCCAAATGCGATACTTGTTTTACATTTAAGGATTGAAGATAATCATTTTCTAAATATTGAAAAATGTAAAAAAATTAACAAAATATTTAAAACTTTTTTGAAATGTCATCACGGTACTTTTGTAATTTAAATTTCATACTTATTACAAATGCTGTTGTAAAGTACATTAATTTGATTTTTATTTAAAATTTTTATAAATAAAATTTTATGTTTCGAAGTAGGTAACTGTTATTTTAAAGTTTGCCGGGCGACCAATCACCATTTTGTATGACCAATGACATGATATTTTTTGGAAAATGATTGTCATGTTTGAACTATAAGATGCATTCATAGCTGAACTATAGATGCAGTAGTTTAGCAAAGCTTAAATATTATACAATT